GATATTAATACATTGAATGAACCAGGAAGGAGAAATTTGGGATGCGCTTTTGAGAAAGCGGAAACTGAGAAAAAACGAAAAACATTTTTTGATTTTTCAAAAAACAGCTGGTTTTTCGAATAGGGGTTGACGAAAATCTTGAAAATTTTTTGGGAAAAATGAAGTGACGAGAAAAACAAATTATCGTTTATGAAAGAGCAGATGACGGACTATCTCTCCATGTATTTATCTCAATTTCGGAATTTTTGACGAATATTGACTTTTCCTGAGGGGGGGGGGGGCTTAAAGAAAACATTTAAAAGACTAATTGAATATATTATATTAAGATAAAAAGGAAATTTAGTCTTCTTTAATAATGCCATTGTGCATTTCTTTCCTTTCATAATCTAGTTATTTCTAAAGGTATAAAAAAATAAAAGACTATATTTTCATTGATTTATTCTAGATGAAGAAAATTGTCATTTGTATTAAATGATGATATCACATCGATAGACAATCAATATCTAAACCTTGATTAATCAATTGTAAATTATTTCAAAGATATTATTTATATAAGATAAAAATCAAAACCAGTAGTTTATTCTTGTTATCTACTTTAGAACTGTTTACATATGAAATTACTTTCGATGAAATCATTGATAATATTAGTACAAATGTTCTTTTTAATAGAATATAAAAACGAATTCATAAATTTTACTCATTAATCGTCATATATCTCATCATATATCAAACTTTTTTCATTTGGTTTTATTAAAACAATCATTATTATTGTCAGTATAGATAACCTATGAATCTACTCTTGTACTATTCATGCCGTTTTTTTCTGCTGTGAAAATTAAAACCTTTTGTATGTTTATTCACTTGGATAATTTGTTTCACACGTGTTCATAAAATAAATCACATGTTTACATGAATCAGGTATGTAATGTTGAAAACTATTCAATTTACAATAATTATGTAAGTAATGTTTGAATTCTGCTAAGAAAAACATTTAATAGAGCAAAAATATACATATTTGAAGTGACACATCTAATCTTTTTATTTTATCTTAAGGAAATTTCTTTCATACAGCACACTCGAAAAAATCAAAAACAAAAATTATAGCCTGAAAACACAGGAACTATTGCGCTCGTTTCAGTTTTCTTGCCCTCTTGCACAACGATCGTAGAATGAATCAATAATATAATGTCGCGCAATTAGATACTCGCGATTTTTGTTTTGTATGTTCTAGTGTGTGATGAGTCATTAAATATACGTTTATATAGAAAGAGAATGATTCAAGATCATAAATCTTAGAACTAAGCAAAATTAGGACTTTTACTGCACCAAATAAATGTACAATGTACATTATTCAGTGGAAGAAAAAAAAGTAAACGATTAGTCTAATTTTTATTTTTCTAATTAAAAGTTCATCAAGGGCAACTCAGTGCATCTCTATTTTTGCACGCAATCTCCGTTTCTTCTACTAAGTAAAGAACAACCACCGTCGATCGACACATTCTTTTCTTTCTCTATCATTTTTTCTTGGGAAGAAAGCAAAAATTTTTTTTTCTCTACGATTTTTTTACTACACAATATAGTTATGCACTGACGGTAGAGGTTATCGTCTTGATTTTCCTCGATCGTTGAGCTTCTCTTAAGCCAGCAGAGTATTTTCTACATAAGGAAACATGTTTTAGTTTGTCGTTGAATGATGAAAGAACCATTGACTGAAGATTCGGATGCTGCACCAACACTTTCTAGCAGCGTTGGGCGACAGACAAAAACAGCTCTATGTACATGTAAAATTTGTGGAGCATCTGCACGATATTCTTATTATGGTGCTGTTGTATGTCATTCATGCAAAATGTTTTTTAAACGAAATGCTGAAAATCGAAAGGTTAATGAAAATTTAAAAAAAAAATTTTTTCGGTCATATTCATACTGTTTTTTTTTAGTCGGCATTAAAATGTTTGTCTGGTAATAAATGTGATATTACCATGAGTAATCGTCAAACATGTGCTTCGTGTCGACTCGCAAAATGTTTCATAAACGGAATGTGTATTGAAATGATTCGATCATCTCGTTGCAAAAAAAATAAGAGAAATGAAAAAAGAAAGTTGATTATTCATTCAATACCATTAACGTCAACAACATTAATAACACCGAACAAGAAGTATCCATTTGATCAAGTAAGAATCTTCATTTATTATACTAATTCGATTTCTACAAGGGGTATTAAATCATCAATCGATTATTTCTACCTAACGAAATGTAATAATAATAATATAGAATTTCAAAAATGATTTTTTTGACAAGAAACTGGCGTGGTATTTATGTTAGTGAAAATTTACACAATAATCATCACTTTGTATAAGTATAACAGTCTTATCATTTGTATTTAGTTGCACTATCTTAGCGTTTATAATAAAAGCTTCCTCAACCATGTTCTATTCCAAGAATGGTATACACTAACACAAGAAAAATACATTATTCAAATACACAGACACCAAATCAGCAAAAATAAAATTAGTATTAGTACATGGGATAGTTCAGTTTATAAACATCAGATATTTTTTTGTATCATAAACACAATTTTTTTTTCTGAACAACTTCAATACTTAGCTCAAGAAGCCTTGCCTTGCAGAGAAAGAAGTAAACCGTGATGACACTATCGGATATTTTGAAAACGAACATATTATCATTAGGATAAAGGTCAGAAAAACGCTTTCGATTAATGATTGTGGGTGTAAGTATTGGGTTTCTGTACTCCCAATAGTATACACACCTAGATTGGAAGGCTGGCGCTATTGACTTGATGGTAATATGACCGCCTCCAATCGGAATTTTATGTAGCAATTGATGAATTAAAGAAAAGGTATGCGTTCAACACGTCTACGATGAAAAAACTTGACAATAGCATGAATAAGACTCCATGAAATAAAAAATTAATTTTTTGGAATGAACAAATACTTAGTTTAATGAAACGATATGAAAAAAAAAAGTTGTTTGTCATGAGATAAATATTTTATAACATAAGAAAAATATAGTAATTATATTTTGTTGCCGCAATCTTAGGAACTATTGAATTATATTCTTATTATTTCTATTATTACTATCATCTTCTCTAATACACAGTTGTATTTATTATTATTTTTTTTAATATACTGCTAAATAAAACGTATTGAGGAGACAGGTAAATCAATTAATTAGTCTTAATTTTTTGATGAAATGTTACCAAACGTGAACATCAAATCGAGTTTACCTAACGAAAATCAACATAGTAAAATAATACAGTGAATATAATAAATTTTAAATTGCCAATTGGTTATTAATACGAAAAGTAATCAGCATGAATGAAGAAAAATTGTAAAAGCTTGAAAATTTAATCAAAGATTCTCAATTTTCCTGAGATTTGTTCCTCTATCTTTGTTTATTTCCTGAAGATATTGACTTTTAAAATTTAATTTTGTTTCTTTTTCTTTTAGATTCCAACATTAAATCTCTTAAAATTGGATCAATCAACATTAAGTACTGATCAATGGAATCTAGTATCAAATTTAGTTCATTGTTTCGATGAAAATAGTGGATATGCATTTGTCGAACGTTTTATAGAAGAGCAAAATCGATTACCACTGAAATTACGATTCAAATATTCATCAGTTAATCATTTTATTACATCAATGATGGGTAAAGTTCAACTTGTATTTGAGAGAAATCGTGATTTTCTCTCATTATCTCAACATGATCGTACAATTTTACTTGAAAGTACAGTAGAATATACGGCAACTATTGGTGGAATGTTTCTTTTACGTCAAGCAAGATTATTAGATGATTTGGCTTTCTTTCAATCTGCTGAAATGATATTTCCACCATCTGCAATGATTTTTGCTAAACGTATTATTGATCAATTTGATTCTGATGATACATTTATTAAATTAATATTTGCAATTCTTGCTTTCTCAACAATCAACTATACTGTGTATAGAAAAAATACTCAGACTAATTTGACAAATATCAAAGCAATTTTACCTATTCAAGATATGTATACAGATTTAGCATGGCGATATCTTTTACATAAGTATGGTCATAATCAAGCTGTGATACGTTTTTCAAATCTTTTAAGATGTCTTTTTTCTGTAAGTGAGGCAATCATCGAAGCACGTGGAGCACAGCAATTTACAGATATAATTGATTATGTTGTTGAACAAACTGCAGAAGCACTTATTGATTAGTTTATGTGTCTTTTCTTTTTTGTATTTAAGTAATTTGTAACCTAGAATTTGTGAAAATATGACAAAAATAACAGTTTGATGAATTCAGTTAATAAAAAAAACAATTATCTCATTTTTTTTCATAAAAGTCAGCCCGTTCTATGCATTTCCTAATAGAACTTTTTTTTGTATATACTTGCATTGCATTCTATCGATAACATCACTCAAAATTCATATAACAATAAATTAGTTATTTTATTAATTTTTTTGAAGACTGTCATATCAAAACTGTGCCTAACAAAATATTCTCTACAAGTGAGACAATTCCAATCTTTGCAAAATATCAGTGTTGTAACGAGACATACACTCTTGCAAGAAACGGTAAGATTGATATGAATAGGCTTTCTAAACTAGATTATTATTTATAAGACTATATATGCAAAGCTCTATAACAGTTGTCATATAGTATCCGAGAAAACGTTATCATTATCGTGCAATGGCAATCGTAGGTTTGTGTGATATCCTTGATAGTTTACGCAAACATATTAAAAGCAGAAAAAGAAATGAAAGTGAAATAAAGAAAAAAAAATCTTGCTCGTATCTTAAAAGAAACAATCCTGATAATATTTGACAACGAATTTTGTTTCTTAGAAACGAATTTACTTATAATAGCGAAAAAATTGACTATTCATTAGTTAAAGTAATCATCGTTCGATAAAGAAAGATTGTTTTTGTACAAAAAGTAAATATAAGCCTCTTCTTTAGTACGAATATCAAAGAGACTTAAATCAGTATTTTCATTCATTTTGTTTGCAGTCAATAGCACATAGTAAATAAAGTTCTTGAATATTATTTCAAGATACATTGAGTGTTATGTTATTTTTTGCTTACATTTAAGTTGTCAAATGAGAAAAGTATGGTTTCAGTTTTTTCAAGAAAAATTGCAATTATTTAGGAAGAGCCAATGGTAAAGTCGCGATATTTTCTTTTATGAGAAAATCGACCGAACTGATAGCAGCATTTGATTTCGGATTGTGTCTACAAGAACATTTTAGTGAGACTAGCAAAAGTCTAAAATGATTCGTGTTCATGAGCCTTTAGAATAAAGTTATGATTATTTTACTGAATTTTCAATCCAACTGTAGGTATTTACTGAAAAATTAAATAACGAAATTTTGATGTGAAATTTAACCCATAGATAAATTTACTGATCCTTAGGAGGCATTGCACGTAAGCCACGACCACCCTCGCTCAATCGACGTCACCAATTTGGCTCATATTTTTACAGTAGCTAAGCCTAACACACCTAGGAATAAATCGAAAGTTTCAGCTCAAACGGATGACGTATTCACGAGATATAGATCTCGCAAGTAGGAGGGGGTAGGCCTTGCTTTTAGGAATTTTAATTGCAATATTTTTCAGTAAATTTTCATTTTGTCGAAAACAACAAAAGATATAGACGAGATATTTTTACAATAAATACTATCAATGATGGGCTACATTTTTATGCTATTAAAATTGTTATATTTTAGAAGGATTTTTATTTGCTATCATAGAGCATTTTTAGAAAACATTCTCACATAGATTTGACGATTGGTCGGATCAGTGTGATAGAATAGACTGAGAGTGGTCTTATTTGAAAGAGTACATCAAATGCATCGAGTGACGTTTTCTAAAGTTTGGCATTTTGAACTTCGGTAGCAAAAATTTTTTTAAACAAGACTCGAACGATCAAAATCCGAACCTGGCTCCCGTTTTTAAGATTGGCCACTTATTTCGAAACGATTGATTTAAGTGCTTCAGGTGAAAGCCCATGTCGAAAAACCTCTAACCTGAAAATTTCAGCTCATTTGAATTAGTCTGTGAAAAATGGAGAATGAGTCATTTTCGTCAAATATCATAGTAAACCCATGGAAATTTTTTTTTCAAAAAACCGCTCAAAACCGCGGTTTTACTAGACGGAGCCGCGGTTTCGATTGGACCTTTTTTCATATATTCAGTGCTTCATAAAATCCCAACGGCTCAATATTTTAAAACGAAAGTTTTATGGTAAATAGAATTTACTGAGATATATGGCAATAAAAAAATTTTAGCTCATTTGGTTGAGCCATTCGTGAGATCTCATTGTATTAGGACCCCCATTTATATATAAGGTCATGTTTAGGCCTTTTCGTAAAATGCTCATAAAAAACCGAAGGATCAATATTTTTTGAATCGGCGTGCGTCAAAATTCATAAGACTCTTCCCTCCACAACATATCTTAAATTGAGAAAAATCTGATGATATCGATTGAGCAGAGTCTATATGAAGTTGGTCGTGGCTTATATGGACTGGCTCTTAGAACATTCTGAGAAGTGTCAGTTAAAAAGAATCTCTTTTTGTACAGGTACCAAATTTTCAAATGAACTTGGTTTTTTATATCATGTCTGTGGCAAGAGAATATATTTTTTTTGTTGGAAATTCAATATATATTAACAAAATAAGATTATTTTCGCTTGAAATCTTCATGATATTCTACAGGTTATCCGATATACTTATGAGCTAAATGTCACACGAAAATTCTATTGTTTGAGTTTTTTGATAGATCCTTAAAGTATGATAGAAATTTAAGTAAAACGATCATAACTCAGCTTCAAAGGTTCATGAACACAAACTTTTTTAGACTTTTGTTAGACTCATCAAGATATCTCTGTATAAGCCCAATATAAACTCAAACAGTGGACATAAGGTCGAGTGGCTCCCTCCTTAGATACTCTTTTTATATAAGATTTTATGCACTTTTTTCAATTATCTTATATCAAATTTTAAAAACTAAATAAAATCATGCGTTATTATGTTTAGTTCGTTAAACTATGTCCAAAACATTTCTTTTTTAATTCATAAAAGTATTTTTGTAAATGTTTTAATATAGTATTATTCCTTTGTTTATATAATGCATTTTGAACTTGAATTAATTTTCAATATCTGATGAACTTGTATAGTGAAATAGATTTAATTATTAATTCACTTGATAATCATTTCGAATAATTTATCCATGATCGATACGTAAGTTATTTGATATATATGTCAGCACCCGAACTGAGATGACAACTGATATAAGATTAAACGCAATCTTACTTTGAACACTAACATATACGCAAATGATCAAATGTTCTAGAATGATGTCTTTTTCTCACACTGGACATTGAGTAACTTTTCACAATTACCTAGATTAAACCAATAATATTCAACATTTATTGTCATCTCAAAGAATATTATTGTCTTCATAGGATTTGATATAGGATCCTCTTCTAATCGTATGTCCTTGTTAGAATTTTAATATTCATCTATTCAAAACTAGTGATGGTAGACAGCTTGGCAGAAAACATTATTGTGAGAATAAACAATGCATTAACCTAAAAAATTTACAAGTGTTAGCAATTGTATTTCAATATAAAAAATTAATATCATTGTGAAAACAAAATCTTGATTGATGTCTACACGTCAGCAAAGAATTTATGAAAATCAAAATCAAAATATGAAATAATTATGATTGTTGAATATAAGAATATAATATTATCTTCCCCCTAAAAAAATATTTTCGTAAACTTTTATCTATGTTCACCAAGTTCATTTTACTCTCTTATATGGAACTATTACATACAATTTCAAAACTGATAAGCAGTATCAAACATCTGCTTAAGATTAAGATGATATGACAAATGAACTTTAAGATTACATTCAATTTTTTCGTCGAATGATAGAAAATGTAAAACATAATTATAATGGTCTCACTACTAAATATCCATTATAAAAACAACGTTATGATTGCAGATTCTAATCAGGCAATCAACAAATTCAACAAAAACTATACTAGACATGAGTTAGATCAAATGTCTATGAGAATAAAAAAACTTTACTTGTGTTGAATAAATTATCAACAGTAGAATGTAAAACCTCAGATGATGAAATTTGTAATCTTAGTCGTTCGACTCTGTTAAGGAAGACCTCGATCAAAGAATGTATTAATATTATGAAATTTTCTTTCAAATATGATCTGCTAGTGTAGATTCACTCCGATCATCGACTGCAGTTGAAAGATTGGTTGTAGGTGAATTATTTAATAGTGCTGGAATGTTGCTTGTAGTAGAAGTCTTTTTTTTTCTTCTGTAAATACTATCATTTTTGTAAGGATCTTAGGTAAAGCATATGTAGGAATTGTAATAATTTTAGTGAGAAAATTTAAGCTATATATTCGAAAGTTTTGTTCAGTGAATCTCGGTAACTTTGTATTGTAAGCATTATTTGATGGAGACTGAAGAAAAACATAAATAAAGTCTTCGAACATATCAGTTGTGTCTTGAAAGTGAAAGACAACGATGAACCAATTTTAATATCTGTACTAAAACGATAGTCTCAACAAAGATGATGGTATAATTATCTTCAAAGAACATCTCACATGGATGCATTTAACTAGATTGGTAAAATGACGAACACAGGTTGGATTTACACGACTAATGTGGGACAGTAAAAATGTAGAATGTAAAGATATCGAAGAGTAAAAACATCAAAAATGTAGAAATGTCAAGATGTTGGAGTCTCGAGGGCGTGGGTGCGGGTAAGGATGTGCGTGTAGGTTTAAGTGTTAGAGTCGTCTCTTCACCCTCACCCGGCACTCACAATACGCCCCTTCTTCATTCAGAACCTTTACTACAAATTGTTTGTTCATAATTCTAATCAACGCAAACATAGGAATAATTGTAGAAAAAACAATCTTAACTTCTAGAAAAACACTAACGGTTTTTCATTTAAATAACTTTTAAAAATTTGAATTATTTTGATTCTATTCGAAGCATTTTATGTTTATTCTAATAATGCGGTGGTTTAGTTAGCTCTTTAAGTACAAGCGTACTTTATAAAGTGATGCATTTTTTCGGCTTCTTGATTTTCGAATAATTCACCAACGTAAATGTTATATCTCTTATCTTCGAATGACGATAGAACGGAGAAAAAGAATCCCCCTTCGCATGGAATCGAACCAT